CTGCTGAAAGCATAGTCATGTATCCTGGTAGTATTGTTCCAAATTATACTTGTGTCTTTATCTGTAATACTTGGTTCCACCCAATTCGTTTGTTATGTACTCAAACATAAGTACTGTCACATTCTGTCCCTGTCTTGTGTATACACCCCTGAATTGTCATGTTAGGTGTAATATCCAAGGTCTGGTTGACAAGTATTTTGATCCAAAAAGAGGTGTGCAATGTCTTGTTGACTCGATGCCTTACTGGAGCCTATGGAGAGACATTGGGAATGGGGTGTAGCTATAAAAAGCCTTATTAGGAGTTTACTTAGTGGGAAGGTATGCTCAGAGAGGCATGAAGCTCTCTCCAGAGTGAGATACAAGGCAGTGCTCTGTGCCCTGGAAGGTGCCTGGGGAGGCTTTTGAACCATAGCAAAGAGAAGGTTACGGGCTCCGTATGTACCTGCATGTGCTATCTCTGCTTGTGACCACTATTTCTAAAGTTAGAAATCTCCATGGATTAAAATCAAGAGAGACCAAAGCTCTGCAACATGCCTTATTTGTGGGTTTTGCCTCTTGCTGAGCTTCTTTTATTCTTTACTCTCCTTTTGTAAGTTAGAGAAATATTTGCTGTCTGTCAAGCACTTTGTGCCATTACTGATGGTTCTACTTGTTACCTGCATTGCCCCCCCTCATCTAAACCTTACATGTATTCATTCCAGTACCACAATACTGAGTTCAGGTGAAGACAGCTTATTTTCTTTTGGTATTAGAACAAAGACGCTGAAGACTTTCTTTTTGGAATCTGGCTATAATCCAACCAGCTCAGGAAAGAACCAGTGCCAGAGCTAATCTTCTCCAGTGCCCAGTAATTTGGGTAAATCCATGTCCAATTTCCCGAGAATATCAAAATAAAACAATTTATCTTGACCCTTGAGCAAATCCTTCACTTACATTTGTTGTGCCAGGAACACAAAAGGAGCTCTCCATGCACCTCTTCCCCAGCTTACTTTGTCTGTTGTTTGTGTTATTCATCAGTAAGCAAGTAGCAGTCACCCCTAAATAAAGACAGAAGTTTTGGGATCAGGTAATTTCTTTGAGTTAGCTTGATTAATTTGCTTGTTTATGTGACCTGTCTTGGTTGTGCTGTGTGAAATTACATGGGAGTTTGTGTGTTTTTCTTTAAAACTAAAAACCATTATAGAAGATACTGAATTTGGTATCAGAGGAGTTATGTCCTTGATTCCTCCAAAAGTAAAAGGGATGTTTAGGAGCTCTGTTCCTTAGATAAAGGAACAGATGTTTTTTGATTAGGTCTTTAGAAGTACTCTGATCTGATCTTAAGAGTCTGGTTACTGGCCTCTAGTTCTGCACCTGTGCCTTTCCTATAGCAAACAGAGGGAAAAGCATCTGTCATCTGGAGACCTGCATATTCTGATGATGTCTCTTAAATGACTATATTCAATATTGGGCTAAAATACTGCAGAGTTCTGTGGCACTCTCTTTTGTTGAATCCCTTTTCTCTGATCCCACTCCACGGCAGAAACCGGAGCCAAACAGTCAGTTCTGAAACCAGCGTGGATGAAAGTGGAGTGTTTGAAAGTCTGAAGGCTGAAGCTTCCTCACCACAACAGCTGTTCTCAGGCCTGGCAGGTATCCCGTCGGGCACCATCACAGCCACACCGTTCCAGTCAGGTTTGGTTCTGGGCTCCTCAGCAGGAGGTGGGGAAGTGTTCATTCAGATGCCAGCCCCCCGGGAGGAAGGGACCAGTCGTACTGAAGGAGCCCCGTTTCACCACCGGCAGTCGTCCCATCACTTCCACCACGGCCACCACCGGGGTTCTTCTCTGCTGCACATGGCAGGAGGGGACCGCCATGGGCACACTGAGGAGGGCAGTGAGGAACAGGCTGGGACTCCAGCCCCAGCTCTGTCAGAATTAAAAGCTGTGATCGGTTGGCTGCAGAAGGGTCTTCCCTTCATCTTGATCCTCCTGGCTAAAGTTTGTTTCCAGCACAAGCTTGGTAAGCATCTCTCCTTTCTGAATTGTAAGTGTATTAGAGGGAGGTTAGGAAGCTTTATCATACTGTGGTGTCTGATACACATGACAGTGTCTAGAAGTAGTCATACTCAAATGCATGGCTTAATGCATTTGATAAAGTCACCCTACTTTCAGTTCAAGCTGTTTTCCTCTGTTTCAGTCCCATCTGTTTCCTATCCTGACCTGTGGGAGATCGGTTCTGTTCCTTCTCCTAATCAATCCTTAACATTGTAGGGGCTGAGGATGTTACCAAAGCTTCTCCCTCAGACCTCTCTTGGAGAGGAAAGAGGAAAGCTTACATGAATGACTAGCAAAGGCTTCTGTGTACCACAGAAGGGCTCAGAGGGATGAGACACTTGTATAGCTGGAAGGATGATACCTGGGTATTTCAGCCCCACATTGGTCATGTAGAAGCTATTAATCTAATCCTCCTCTTACTATGAAATTGTGTGTGACATGTCTGAGGATCCTTACTCATTCTGGGAGTAGTATGCTGAGATTATTATCCCAGGGAATTTTAGTCCACTTACTGGTCTGCCAGTATTCCCAAAAACAGGTGTGATTCATGCCTGCAACATCTTGCTCTGGTATCCTACATGGTTTTGATAGTGAGCCCTGTCCTCCATGATCTGCTGAACTGCTGTTGTGGTACTGTCAGCTAGTTGAGTTCTGGTTGCACAACTTGCAGCATGTCTGTTCTCCTTCAGCACTGAACCTGAGGTTAGGACCCAGTGCCTGCATTGGACTGGGAGGCAGATGCTCACTGCAGCAGCTACACATTCATTTAGCTTAAATTTGGAACTTCATCTAGTCCAGACTGCCCTGCTTTAGTCACCTGTATGTTTTAATTCCCACTGCATCCAGAATATCACTCAGTAAATTTCTGTCTGAGCTTGAGGTGCTGACCTCAGGTGGCCCAGGGCTGAGGAGCCCCCTGCCCAGCCTGGTCTGCCTTGTCTCTCCCTGCAGGGATCGCCGTGTGCATCGGCATGGCCAGCACCTTCGCCTATGCCAACTCCACACTCCGAGAGCAGGTTGCTCTGAAGGTGAGCACAGCATCTTACTCTTTTACATTCCCAAGCAACTTTGCTCTTTGTACACAAAGCTCTGGAGCCCCCACAGGAGGTCACAAAGATGATCCAAGGGCTGGAGCAGCTCTGCTTTGGAGCCAGGCTGGGAGAGTTGGGGTGTTCAGCCTGGAGAAGAGAAGGCTCCAGGGAGACCTGAGAGCAGCTTCCAGTGCCTGAAGGGGCTCCAGGAAAGCTGGGGAGGTGCTTGGGACACAGGCTTGTAGCAAAATGACAAGGGGTAATGGATGAAAACTGGCAAAGGGGAGATTTAGATTAGACATTAGGAGAAATTCTTTGCTGTGAGGATGGTGAGAGCCTGGCCCAGGTTGCCCAGATAAGCTGTGGCTGCCCCATCTCTGGCAGTGTTGAAGGGCAGGTTGGATGGGGCTTGGAGCAACCTGGGCTGGTGGGAGGTGTCCCTGCCCATGCAGGGGGTTGGGACTAGATGGTCTTTAAGGTCCCTTCCAACCCAAACCAGTCAAAGATTCTATGAAAACAATGTCTATGTTGAACCTTCTTTTGCAATGTAGGGGTGAATGTAGATACAGGATACAGGTCTGTCAGAACAAGTATGTCATACCTTCATCCTCACTTCCTCCTCCTACTTCTCCCCACTGGTGCTCTCCCACAGGTTTCATCCTGCTCTTGTGTGAAAGTGTGGTGTAATAAAGCCCAGAGAGGAAAAGTCAGGGATATTGTAACTGCTTCCCACTCTGCTGCTGACTGGCAGTGAATCTTCAAGCACTTCTCTGTGCCTTAATTTCCCATTATGTACATGCTGAAACCTACTTCACTAGCTAATTGTGAGATTTATTATATTAGCATTTAGATAATGTTTTGAGGTGTTCAGCAGCAGGACTTTGTAGATGTATTGCTTGTTAGTATCTTTATAATGCTCTGTTGATGATATGCTTAGAATATAAAGAAACCAGCAAATCTTTTCAGGTCTATGATCTTCAGTGTCAGCAAAGCACTTCAACAGCACTAAAAGCACAAGACTAGAATTGGGCACAAGTGGATACTTCTGTCTACCAGTAGCAGTGGAATAAATATGATACAGTGCTGAATGAATTGCACAATTATGTAATAGATTGCTGTTGCCTTGCACTTTGCACCTCTGTCTTTCCAGCAGTGTGCCCCTTAATCTGCCTGCTCTAAATCTCAACCTAACATCCCTAGCTGTTAAATAGCTACAAAGAGCTATTTTCTTAATAAATCAGCTCACAAGAAAAATGCTAGATTTTTTTTCTCCCAGGAGTAAAATTTACTCTCCAAAATTACACTGGATTGAGACCCAGGACAAGATCTTCTGCCATCCAGCTTCTGTCTATAATGTTCCATATCTTTTGAAATGTAAAATTTGCAGTTCTTTTGACCTTTCATTATTTCTTCAACCAAAAATGAATGACCTGCAACTTCCATGCATTCAGATAACATCCATACATGCTGCATGTCCTGATGGCTTATGTTCTATTTGATTTAGCTAAGCCTTCTTTTGGTGCGTTTGGATCTATTTGTGGAACACTACTTCAATGAAGTGTCACCCAAGCAGGTGACAGCTCAGAATTATGGTACACTATATAGGACTCTTTTTTTTTTTTTTCTAATCTGTTTGTCAAACAGCATTTTAAATATCAGGAGAATTTAGAAGTCCCAAAAAAGATCCCAGGTTTTGAAATCGTGTTCTGCAGTCAGGCTGTCATTTTCACCAGTGTATTTTCATTAATTTCCCTGAAGTTGCTTTAACTGAAAGGGCTAGGTGAGTGAGAGCCACTTCTGCTTGGGTTTATATATGTCTTTACCTAGCAGCTGAGTCTTAGTCCTATGTGAATAAACTAATTACTGAACACTTAGTTGCATATTTGTGTTCCTGGAGTTGGTCTTGGATCTTTTAACAGCTGAACGCTCAGTACAAGCCTTGAGACTTTTATCTTTGCTTCTCTTTCTTGCTCAGGAGAAGAGATCAGTGTTGGTTGTCTTGTGGATCCTGGCCTTTCTTGCTGCAAACACCTTGTACTTGCTTTACACATTCAGTTCTCAGCAGCTGTACAACAGGTGGGTAAAATATACATTGTACATGATGAAAGCAGGTGAGAAAAAGAGGGAAGCCCACTTTTCCCCACACTTTGAGAATATCTGCTGTCTTTGTTACGTCTGTGTAATACCTTTCAGTGGAAAAGAATGTGTGCATTGCTCCTACCAGTTGACTGTGCTATAAATGACATAACCAGGGCCAGGCTGTGATGGTACACCCCAGTGCTGCTGCTTGAAACATGGACCCTTGCCATTTTCTTATGTAATCAAAGCAGGATGGATATTTTTGTGTAGATGAACTTCTGAATTTTCATTTTGACCACTGTGACTGAACATAAAGAGCAGGTGTTGGAAGCAGATAAGAAACTGACCCACTGATTTTCCTCTTTCTGTAATGTTTTCTTTACTTTTCAGTCCATCTAGCTTTGAGTCTATTTAAAGGAGGTAAGCTGGAGATGAAATAGTGTTTTACTTCAGTGTCCTCAGGGTTTGGAGGCATTTGGATCTGAGGTAATTAAGGTAGCCTCCACTCTGGAATTCTGACTGGAGGGGTTCTCAAATACACAAAAGTTAGTACCCATGGATTTGGTTTAATAATATGCCTGCTTATTTTAAAGCAGGGATTAAATGACAGATAGGAAGCAAAGATACAGAACTTAACCACGGGGGTGTTAGAAGAGTAAATAGGAAGAAATGGAGCAATGTGAAACCTAGTTACTTGATAAATTATTTTTTATATTAATAGCTAAAACCATATGAATTATCTTCCCAATTAAGATTTTATTTGTCCCACTGAAGGGGATTTAGAACTTCAGACTAAACATAAAGTATGTGCAGCATGCATCAGTTGTGTTATGGCTCTTGGGTATGTTTTTTCTGTCATTTATTTCAGTGCTTCCCTCCTTCCCTGTGTATGCAGTGGAAAATGCAAAGGTCTGCCCTCAACCCTGGCATCCTTCAGAATTGCCCTTAACATACTCAGGTCTGATGACTGGAAAGCTGTGTATGTAGATGCTTTTAGAAGGGGAGAGACATAAGAAGGCTTGAGTGTGTGGGCCCGAGCAAAATATAGCAAGCCATGAGGAACTCTGTGTAGGGCTGAGAGGGAGTGGAGGAGCAGAAACAGGCATGGCAGAAGGGAGTAGAAGCATCAAGAAGAAATTTGTTTGCACCACAAGGAAATTGTCCCCCAAAAGAGGTGGTTTAAGGTGAAAAGCATGAGTAGGACTAGTTTAAAATGAAGGGTAGATTAGCTAAAATAAAAGGGTTTCAGCACATTGGGGCCATCCTACACACTGTTTAGGGTGTGGGTTATTAACAGCGAGCAGCTGAACTGGGCAACAGCTTCACTGACAAACCCTGTTCCTGTGTGTGTTGTAGTGGTGCCTGATGTGTCATGCTTGGGCTAGGGTCTCACCTGCTGTGTGAGGACCTGTGACCATTCATGAAGCAGGCCTGTGAAATTAGAAATAGCTGTTTTGGTTTTGTTTCTTTCTGGCTTATTTTTCATTTCCTGTTTTATTTACTTTTTGCTTGTTTCTAGTGCATGAATAGTAGTAAAGTCTCTGATTCTGTTTCTGTTTTTAGGATTTAATTTTACCTGTTGTGCTGTGCCCATGTTGTGAGTATTTTAAATCCATGTTCAGGCTTTTCATTCTGGGTTGGTTATTTCACTTGTGCTTGCTTTTTTTTTTTTTTTCTCCCTTAACTTTTTGTTTTCTACCATGAGGATTTAGTAGGTAAATATCCTGAAGAGGAATCCTGGTTTTTCAGTCTGAGTAGGGTCCAGTCTTCATTGCTGCTTAGATCAGTAGCTCCTCCCATTGTTCTGCTGTCCTGGACTCCCCTTCTTTAAAGAGTGAAGTTCAGCCCAGTCAGTAATGCTATGTAAGGGGCAGTACCTTTTGGATCTTTGGTTCAGGTAAGAGCAGCTAATGAACACAGCCCAGCTCTTGGTGTGCTTCAGTCAGTGACAGGCCACTGTCAGAGCATGACACACCTGAAGTTCTGATCTTTCTGCCAGGTCTAATACAGTCACCTTTGTTACCAGTTTGTTTCACATGCACAAGTAGCTCTAGACTGCTGCCCCTGTGGTAGCCCTGCCTGTGACAAGCCAGGCTCAGAGGAGGTAGTGGTCTTGGCTTGGCCGTGACTTCCCCAAAGAATCATAACTACTGAGGAATTGGACTTCAAAGGATAAGCCTTTACAATCAGGTCTGATAGGGCAAGCCTGGGAACTAAAGTCACTATAATTAGACCAAAGACTCTTTTACAGTGTGGATTGCAGGTTATGGGGATTGCAGTCCTTCCAAAACAGATTTTTGTACATGTTTATGGCCTGATTTCTGATAGTGGACAAACCTGCTGACCACAGTAGAAATGGGCAAGAACAAAGTCACGAAGCCCAGAGGAGCCATGGGACTAATTTGCATGTCATATTCCTATTGCCCTTGAGAACTTCACTGAAGTTTAGTGAAGTTCCTAGGCTCTCAAGTCAGCAGTTGGAGTGGCTGGTAACAAGAAACTGAAGTGAGGTTCTCCTCAGCGGTATCTGAGCCTTGTTGTCCTGCCTTTCAGCCTTATATTCCTGAAACCGAACCTGGAGAGGCTGGACTTCTTCGACCTGATGTGGATTGTAGGGATTGCAGACTTCATACTCAAGTACTTCACCATTGCCTTGAAATGCTTGATTGTTGCCCTGCCTAAGATCATCCTAGCTGTCAAGTCCAAGGTAAGAGTATCTGTATACAGGTGTTTGTCTTTGATAATCTGATGCCTTTACAATAGGTTTGCAGCCTGAAATCGGGGTGAAAGAATAAATATATAATCCCTGTTAAAACTTCAGCAGAAAGTCACCAGAATAGTAAGTTTTGGTTTTTGAGACAGACCTGAGCAAGGGTTTGGTAATGCCAGCAAGTCCAGAGAGAAAGAAAGGTAAGCATGGCTTGAGAAGGAATAGGTACAAGCGTAGAGATAAATGTTTTTCTGGCTGACTTTGTTCCAAGTCTTATTTACTGAGTAATCTCTGTAAATACATATTTCTGTGGCACAAATCTCTTAATTTAATGGAGAGAAATGGCAAGTACTTGTCTTTTTAGCTTTCCACTTGAGACAAAGTACTAAGACTATTAAATTGAAGCTAGTGATGCCACAAAAGACAGCACCAGTTCTAACCATGGGTGAAGAAATATTTTAACAGTTAACATACCTAAATGTTTATAAAATCACATGTAGACTAGGCCAAACTTTTGCCACTCTCTCATTACATTATGTCTTGAAATACTTGGTATGTTTTTTTTAGTCTTAGAGGAGGCCCCTTCCTCCACTTAGTAGTGTCTCCATTTCAGTGGCAACTCTAGCAATGTGTATTATTTGCATTTGGTAAAGAAACTTCCTAGCACTATGTGGATGCAAGATGCTATCAGTAATAAAAAAAATCTCAGGCAGGGCACCTAAGAGGATATCTAAACTGGGAATAGTTTTACTTACAAATGACATGGGTGGCAGGGGAGTTAAGCAGTTTGTTCCTGCACAGCAGGGCTATTTGAGATGGTTATTAATTTATTTCTGGCAATTGTCCAGCTTGTTTTTTTACCCCATTATTATTATTATTTTATTTTGGGAGATTAATGTGCTAGGTCAGAGCATAATCCAGCCTGGGGAGGGACGCAAAAGTGATGTGAATAGTCTTCCCAAGATAAATTGCAGTGTTGGAAAAGGTTCACAGCCTTTGCTTGCCTGTCTGAGAGCTATCCCAAGTACTCATTAATCCTTGTCTGGAGAGAAGAAAGAGAGGGGGTCTCTATTTGCAGCTACAGTGGGAGGCTGGTAAGATCACATCTGTCAAGGGCCTATAATGACTCAGAGCACAGATGCTTCATTTTTAATACCTTTTTCTGGATAGCAGTATTTCTCACTTTTTAAAGTCCCTTTTTGTCTTAGGATGTTGTTGATGGCCTCACTGTCCCTTGACATCTGAGACTGCTGTTACCTACCACTATGGATCTGGATTTGTTTTTATCCAACTCTCCACACCACATCCAGTGAGCCAACCAGGGATGAGATCTGGTGTCACAAATTAAGCAAGATCAAACTGGGATGGGAGAGCTCCAAGAGAACCCCAGGATGCCATAGAAATTGTAATTGGTAACCAGGTTGCTGAGCTCTTTTCTTGAGCCTGCTGACCCACCTTACTTCTCCAGGCCAGCTTAACGCTACACATCTTAGTTTTCAGGAAAGTTTTTTAAATACAAGTTTTTTTCAGAGTTGGAATGATTCCACTGCACTTTAGGCACACAAACTTCAACTCAATTCTTATCAAGTTATTTGCTATCTTAATATTTACCTGAAACAAAGTTACTCTCTTCCTGCCTGTAGGCTTATAGTAGTGTTGCTGCTTGAAGCCTAGCTTGGAATGTGTGACCTTCTGGGTGGGTGTCCAGCAAGCTGCTGGAGAAATAGAAATTTAATTCAGAGTAGAGCTAGGCTTTTTCAAAATATGTACACTGATATGAGAATTTTCCTGTCAATATAACTAGTCAGACAGGAGCCTGAAGTGGAGGTTGCTGCAGTCAGGGACAGAGTTCAGCACAGCTGTGGATGGGTAGAGGTATTTAAACTTGAGCTCCCTCACAGTACCTTCTTGCTGGCAGTCAACAAGAGCCAACAGAACTTGCCCATGGATGACCTGTCAGGGACTTTGATCATTCTGCTCACAACCTCTGAGCAGGCCCTTCAGATTTTCCTCATTTATGAAGTTCAAAGGCACTTTCAAAGCTAGTCTGGCTTTTCATGCTGCTTCTTGAGATTCTGGTCTTCTCTGAGTGCTGTGTGGTTTTCACTGACTCCTGCGTAGCCTTTCTAGCACAAGGCACCTCCTCTGGATGTCCTTTCAAGTCTCTTACCGCTCCGTATGCCTTGTGATGGGAGCAAGATCAGATTATTTTCTTCTGCACAAAGTCTTCATATCTCCCCTCAGTCCTCTCTAGACTGATCACCAGCAATTTGAGTCTTTTCTCAGAGATCCTTCATTCCAGATCTTATGCGCTTCTGGACTATCTTCAGTACCCCTGTTTTCCTGCCCATTTCTCCAGTCTGTCAAGATGAGATTGGATAATAATCCTTTCCAGAGGGTTTACAGCCTTTCCCAGTTGAATGTCAGCTACACATCTGGTAAGCCTACTTTGTTCCATCGGGATCTCTGCTGAAAATAGTGAATGGTACTAATCTCTGCTTAGCTCAGGTGCACCTTTTCATTTTTACATTGAACAAAGGAAAAATTTGGGCTAGAGCATTCAGTTCTCCCAAGCTAAGGTATCTGGGTCATGTATTCCTAGCATGGCCCCATCACAGGAAGGGCAGCATTTGGTCTGAGATGACATCAAGAACCATCTTGGATTTATAGCATCAGTTCATGCTTTAATAACTGAGAAAAGGCAAACAAAAATGGAAGGGCAGAAAAAGAGGTTTGCTTTGCAATCTGAACAGAGAACAGCAAATGTGATGAGTGCTTGAAGTGTGAAGACTGCTAGATTATGCAGGTACAAGCAGCCAGTTATTCTAGCTTGAATACCTTACAGAGGGAATAACTCTGCAAGCAGCCCCTCCAAAGAATGAGGGAAGACTGAACATTAGTGAAAATAATCCCAGATTCCAAATCAGCCCAGAAAACAAAAGTGCCAAGAGTGGCTTATGAGACTTCAGTGAGGCTGGAAGGCAGGGAAAGAAGAGCTTAGGAATAGAAGAGCAAAGCAGAAAACAGAAGGCAACCCCAACACCAGACTCCAATCTTACACCTCTGCAATCAGTGGGAGGTTGTGGCAGAAGGAGCATACCTGTGGCTAAAGATAACACTTCCTCCCCCAGGAGCTGAGGGGCACATCAAGCTGAGTACAAGTTTTAATAGCAGCTGGGCTCATCATTTCTTGGGAAGGGGGGCTTGGCTCCCACCCTGCATGCTGAAGGCTCTCCATTAAAAAAGGCAAATAAGATCATTTGGTTCAATATAAAATGAATTAAAGTAAATTAAACTGCAGGAGCCATGTGGCCTGCAGAGGCATCCATTGTTGTACAGATATAAATGGCAGCTTTTCATTTTCACTGCTAAGGAACAACAGCTTGGGGGGAGTGGAATTAAAAATAAGGAAATAAATAATAAAAAGAGACAGTTGCCAAAGATTTCGTTTAGGAAATCCCAGGTGCCTGCAAGTCTCCCATCCCCTCTTCATGCTGTTGTCAGCAATCTAAGCTGATATCCTGAAGGATAGAGTGAAGCATGAGGGGGAGGAGGGAGAAAGAAAACCAAACCCAAACAACTAAGAAACTGGTCTTCTAGGTTCTTTTATATCTATATTATATCCCTATCTCTGTAGGGGAGAAATATACCAAGGACACTTTTCCAGCAATCTTAATGTCTGGTACACAAGAAAGGCTCTGGGTAAGAAATTTCTTTGCATGCTCAGAACAGAGGTGCAGCCCAGTTACAAGGGGCTCCCTTTCCAGAAGACTGGAAATTCAAAAGGAAAGCACCAGCATTTATTTGTTGAAAATATAGTATTAAGTTACTATTGAATCAATACTTGTAACTATTCTTTCAGTCTGAGGCTAGTAAGGCTTGATTTTGGGTAGTTCCAGTGCTCTTCCATGTTTGTCTGATGGAGCACAAGTATGTCCACTTGGTTATCATGTCACCAAGTGCTCCTGTCTCTGAGCACAGCCACTGTACAGCTACTGAAAGGAAAGAAAGCACTTATCTCATAATGATTAGAGTTGTTCTACGACCTGCCTCCATCTTGTGTCAGAGCTCAGCTCCAGGGAGATCCCATGGTCTAAAATCCTAGTGCCCAGCCTTTCTCCCCAGGTAGACTGACCCTTCCTCCATCACAGGACTAGTTGCACAAAGGACTTGCATGTGCAGAAGTTCTGTGCACCTTGAGCACCAAGCTGTTCATGCACTTGGCATTTGTGTGGAACAGAATCCATCCTGCATCAGGGGAAGGAGGAGAAGCTGGAGCAGTTTGCAGCTGCCAAAGCCTCTACCAGAAGGCTCACATTAGGAGTGAAAGCACCAGAGGGAAGGTGTGTTAATTGTGATGGCAACAGGCCTTGTAATGTCCCTGCAGCTTCTTTCATCACAGAACCAGGTATTTATCAGTCATTTAACAGGACATTTGTGCATTTCATTTTGTCCTAAGAAAAACAGTGTCTTGGAGCATTCAAGTCTTCTAGATGTTGATCAAAAAATATGGAAGCATTAAAATAAACACTGGGAACAGATACATAGATGATATATTACAGAAAAATATCTAGGTAAAGATCTTCCTGTTCCCAATCTGTGCTCTTGTACTGTGTGATATGCAATTTTATCCTATTCTTCTCTATTAGCATGGCTAAAGTGGTGTTTCCAGAGAGGTGATAACCTATCCCACTGTTACCCTCTCCTGGATGATCTTGGCTGTTCTTCAGGGAACACATTCAGATGTAGATCAATTCTTCTTGAACAACAATCTGAGCTTTGATCCTCTAGAGCCACAGGAACTACATGATGGTTCTGCAAAAATTCATCCCTGTTGCAGCCTGGGACAGATGAGGTGTCCCAGAGCCAGAAGTGTGGGATTTGTTCAAGAAAAGACTAAATAAAATATAAAACTAGGTACTGAGGGACTGGGACTCTTCTGTCCCTCTCCTTAACACGCTTGGAAAGTCACTGCTACTAAACTTTTTAAAGGAATCATTGCTTTTAGAAGCTTTCCAAGTTTAACTTTCCAGTTTAAGATATCAAAGATGTGACTTCCAGAAGTGCTGTGCTAACTAAAAATCTCATTCTGCTCTCTAGTCTCACCTTGGAATTATACTCAGTCTCACATGGATTTTCACCAGCATCCTCTCTGCCACAACCCTATTCACTGCTCCTACCCAACACATTTATATTGGCAATATGACCTGAAATCTCAGCAGAGCCTCCTGTCCTCTGATCCAAATTGTCAGCAGGTCTCCAAAGTTGTTTTTTTTTTTTTTCTAGCATCTTCCTGTTTCAGAATATGTCCTAATGCTGCTGGCGACAGAACAAGTGAGACTTGGAACTTCCTTTGAGTGCTAATCACAACTTACAGTTGCCTCATTGCAACTTCTCTCACTTCTTGCATCCCGTTTTAATTCCACTGTGTAAAACCTTAGCATGCCTGTTTCCTGCTGTGGAGACACACATGCACACTTATGCAGAGCCTTATGTCAGAAGAGGCTACAATTCAGTGCTTGGTGAGGCTTTGTGGGAGTCAGCATTGCTTCTCCAGCTGTAATTTGCCTTCCTTGGTATGTATATGTTGTGATTCAATTTTTAATTAGGTGATTCCATGTTATTTTTCTGTAAGACTTCTTCCATCCATCACCAGTGTATCATGTGCCCCAAGGATGAAGCAAAGTGAGGTACAGAAAGAAGCTGTTGTAGGCACTGGAAAATGCATAAAGAACAAAGACACCACTGGAAGAAGAATGTTCTACAAGTTGAAGTCGAATGCTGCACTGGAGAATTAAATTCCATCCTTTTCTTTGCCAAATAATTCCTATGTGATTCTAAAAAAGCCAAGTACAGCTGCAAACTGAAGTCAGTGGTTTAGCTTTTAATGGTAATGTGATCTATACAATTAAGTGCTTTATAGAAAGTCTGATTTCAGACATTTCAGCCTGGACACCAAAACAACCTTACCTTTTATCTTTCTATGTCTCAAGTTTTCATTTAGAAAATGCAAAGAATAGCTGTCCCTTATGACATCCAGCAGTGTGAAAACAAGGGGTTTGAAAAGAAAAGCTTTTACTCTACTGGTGATGTAATAAAAAACCTGAAGAAATTTCAGTCATTTTCTACTCTGAGCAGAGCTCAAATAGCCTGAAATGATAGGATGCAGATCTGCCATCAAGTAATGAGAGTATAACAAAACAGTAAAGTCACAGGCTTAAGGAGTAGCACCCAATAAGCACCACTCATTTTTTTACCCTATGAAAATATAGTATGGGTTCATGTGATTACAGACTGTGTAATACTGCATGTACAGAGGGGAAAATGGCAATTGTATGAAAATCCTGAATTCTGCTCTTCCAAAATAATAGATTTAAAATACAAAAATGATCTTCCCCTGTGTTAAAGGAGGGAGAGGACAATGGAGGGTTATACTTGAGTCATTACCTCAGCTTTTAACAAAGCCTTCTGGAAAGAAAAAAGGATTCAAAGTTTCACCATGTGGTATCACAAGATTCATGAGCTGAGTTGCTATAATTAGATCCACAGCACAGTCCTCTGCCACTTGTGCTAATGAAGTGTTTGATAACAGTGGTAGTAGACTGTCAGCTTTCATAGTGACACAGCCTCTGCAGAGGAACCAGGATAAGCACTCTACTACTTGTGCTTTAGTCAGGTTTCACCTATGGCAAGGGCTTGACTCTTTTCTGATTCTACCCTAACCAGAAGCTATCATTCCTGGTAACACTGCACTTAACCTCTGCAGCCCAGCAAGGTGACATGCTTGCTCTGGAGGGCTGGCTCCTGCCTAGTGCAGTCATGCACTGGGGCTGGGCACAGGCTCACCCAAAATAGCTTTTGCTGATCTTTGAGAGCAGTTCAAGCTCTATAGTGTATTCAAGAGAAAATTCCCAGATTTACATGGATTTGTATGAAATAGGAAAAGTCACCTAACAAGAGGCAGGCCTTGCCTTATTTGAAGCTATTGTTCCAAGTCAGATGCACAGGAGAAATAACTGTATTTGTGCTTAATCTAGCACACAGTTTTTCCTAACCTCAATGAGAAATTCTGAAATGCTTCAGCTGAAGTTTTCAGACAAAGTTCAGCTCAAGACAAAGATTGTCTTTGAAAGCTTCAGCCTATATAGCCAAGATAGAACAAACCCTGAAAAGCAGCAGACAGAAAGATATATTGACTGTGTTTACAAGTGATGGATGCCACCTGCAATGAGTTACTGCTATTAGAAGGCTAAATTTTGCTGCTGAAATTGTAGGGAACAACTCTCTTTCTGAGCTTTTGGCTCAGAAGGAAGCCTCCATTTCTGCTGCAGCCCTTTGTAGAATTACTTCTGATTTTCTAGGCTCTTTTCCTAGTTTAAAATAGGACTGGTGTGTTGCACTGAGGACCAAGATGCCTGATAAGCCTTACATTTCTGTAAGCACTTGCTGTAGAACTAGTTCTTTTAAATGATGCTCTGCTGTCCTTGCAGTGCTTCCCTCCTCCTAGCTGTAATCACTCTGAGCTTACAAACAAGTCAAGTGAGTGGTGTTCACGGGCTGGTTGGAGAAATGCATCCCTTTAAAACTGAACTGCACTCTTGTGAGGGTGTTCACAAGTATCTAACTGCTAAGATAGCCTGCTGCCCTGCAGTTACCATTGAAAATTGAAGATCTGCATTAAGGACTTAGAGAAGATTTGTAAATGCTGGAGATGTTGTGGTTAGAAAATAGAAATTTGCCTCTTGCTGCATGTTCATTTTAGAGCCACTCTCTGCCACCCCACTTCCACACCCTCCAGGGCTGCCTGTGACCCATCTTTCTTTACAGCTTGCTGTGGGCTTTAGTATTTTTAGTGCCTCAAAAACTTCTATGGAAGAATTTCAGCTTTGATGCCCCAAGTGCTGCATCCAGAAGTGCCATCTGATGCAATGAGAAAGCAAGCAGTGACCTGTCCCAGCCCAGCCTGCTGGGGAAGCACAGCTAAATGAAAGGAGTGTGAGCCTGGTGGGAGGAACAAGTCAGAGAAAGCAAACAGTTTGCTGCCTTTAGCTTGCTGGTAGCTTTCATCAGAGCTGGCTGGGGGGGAGGAGGTGGAGAGCTGCCTGTGTGAAGGGAAGGAAGTGACAGCATAGTCATTAGCAGCCTGCGACCCTCTGTCACTGGGTCCCCTGAAATGAACGATGATCGTATCGAAGCAAGAGGCTGGATAGAGACCTCTGTGCTAATTTAATAAATTGCTTGCATTTAGAACCCAGATTGTTGCTGTTACATTTTTGCTATGTGATGCCACCTGGGATTAACGAGGAGGCAGCAATGGGGGGGAGGAAGAAAGCAGCCCAGGTCTGCTAGCAACCGCTGGTGTGAGCTCACTCCTGCTCCCAGGGGGATATGAGATCATGAGAATGCCAGAGCTCTCCCAAGGATTCGATTTGTTCAGTGCAGCAGGATGGCCTGCCAGTGATCTCATCCCTGAGACCCCAGGGAAGTGCACGAGCTGCTGCCGGCCTGCTGGACTGCAGAGGCTTAATCCCCACTCCAAATCTCACCAATTAACGACTGACCTGCAATGACATCACTGATGACAAAGCGAGCTGGGACAGCACAGCAAAATTCCAGGGGAATTTCCCCTTCTCCACCATCTTATCAAATAAAGGAATTTTGACATGTCAAAAACAAACCTTTCAGTCCAGATAATGTCAGGGCAGATTAAGCAGAGTTCTGGGCTCACAGCTTGCCCTGACCTACTGCCCTTTCACCAGTTCTCCCTTTTAAACTGTGTAGGACAGAACATAAACAGGTCCTCATTAAGGGTGGGGGCCACTTAATTAGTTAGTCTTATTTAGCCAGCTTCTTAGCCCCAGTCTTAGGTGTTTTAAAATAGAAATTATGTAGTATGAAAAAAAAATCTATTTCAGTTGTTGCACCTCATGGTTGTAGTAAGCCAGGAAGAGTTTGTTACATTGCTTGTGTCCTTCAAGGAAGGAAAGCTTTCTAACTGGAGTAAACACCAGATGGCAAGGACAGCTTTGGTGAAGATTTACAAAGGATGTTGCCCATTCTTTGAGTCTCTTTTGAGAGAGAAAAGCATTTCGACCAGCATGCTTGTCCCTTCCCCCCTTTCCTTCCTTAAGGTCCTCAGGAAGATTTGATGTCTGAGTTTAAAATGCCTTGAGGGGATTTTTTCAGAGCCAGTCTTTTTAGCTGTGTACTGTACAAGAACAAATACACCTGAGTGGAAGGGGCAGGATGCTGGTAAATAAGTAATTAATTTGATTCTTTGGAATAAACTAGAAAGTTGTCAGTAAGACCCAGGTCACCTTACATTTAAATCTGTGCCCTCAGAAGGGGGTATAGGATCCAAGAGACTTACCTTGCATTCCTTTTCTCATTATTAATAATGTCTACAATTTACATCATATCCCTGTAAGTCTTAACCTCTGCTGCTGGGGTTCTGTATCACTGTAGTGATGCTATAAGGTGTACATCCATAACCTGCTCTGGAAGTTTAAGAGTTAAAAGTGTAGAATAGCTGGAGAAATGGCAGAGGAACATAAGGAAGCAATGAAGTGATAGTTTTCCTTTCTAGGCACCAAGTCAGGTGTCTGCAAAGAAACCTGCATCTCATGGATACTGGTCTGTGCACCATTGAACAGTGCATAGTGAGACAGGGAACACAGGTTCCTGTAAGCACCTGTTCAGTGCTGCTCTTTTGACTTCCTGGCGGTGATCATGTCTCACTTGTTTTGCAGGGAAAGTTTTACCTGGTGATTGAGGAGCTGAGCCAGCTGTTCCGCTCCCTTGTCCCCATCCAGCTGTGGTATAAGTACATCGTGGGAGATGATCCATCCAGCAGCTACTTCCTAGGTGGGATCCTAATCATCCTGTACAGCCTCTGCAAGGCAAGTACCACCTCAGTGACCTCTATGGGAGCTGCAGCAAGAGCAGAGAAATAAGCACAGCTAAGGGGAGCAAATACACCTTTTAGATTGTTCCTGTCACTTCCCAGGAAGGGAGCTGCAGCAGCTGGGGACACCAGGTGCTTTAGTTGCTGAAAGCATTTTGTTTCACCAGTATGTGGGCAGTGGTGAGCTAGAGGAAGATCTGTGGCTGCTCATGAAGTATTGCATCAGACTTATGAGTCACTGCTGCTTTCTAATACCCTTCTGTGAAGGCTAGAGGAGAATGGGAGGGGAGCCTTGGGGGACGAGTCCTGGAAGAGATGTTAGCTGTATCCAGACTTCTAGATGCAACATTGAAAGGAAGGTTGCAGACAGTTACATGTTTCTCTCTAAGCATTCCTCTCTCTTTCAGGGCAGGGCAGGTACTCTGTCACTCACAGTGCTGGATGCAGCAGGGAGAGAGGGTCATACAAGATCACTCTACCTGCCTAGATAGAACACATAGTTCTGGCCCCATTGTAGATCCTGATCTGGCTGATACAAGTCCCATATCTCAGCAATAGACAAGAAAAACAAATGTTTCCTCAAAAATAAAAATGTTAAGAGCACAAGATCTGCCTGTACAATTGTAAATAAATAGTTGTGACGTATTCAGAGGAGCCCCAAACATGAGGTCTAGAAACTGCAGAATTTCTAGCTGTGTGGATTGAACCCTGCCCAGGGGCAGGGCAGTAGCAGAAGCAAATGGTGCTACACCTGTATTATCTGTCCTCTGAGAGGGGCCAGGTGAGGCAGGCTCACTGCAGCCCTGCTGCTTGTCTCTGCTTAGGAAAATGGCTGTGGCTTTACAGAGTAGAACTTAAAGAGCTTTTGTAGGCAAGAAGACAGAAGTTGTAGGAATAGAAGCGACAACCACAAACAACAAACATGCCAGAATAGAAGGCACATGAGCCCCCTGTAGCTCTCTGCACACCCATCCATTCTCTCAGCTGTTTCCTGTTCTTTGCTGTGGGAGAGGACTGTTGTCACTTTAAAGGTGTCTTTGTTTGAAGCCCTCCTAGACAGCAGCTTCCAACCCTCCCATGCCCTTCTGGCTTGTGAGGTCAGGCATGCAAATGACAGGGACAGATTTCAAGTGATCTTTCTGGTGCCCCCTCTTGCAAAAGTTACTCAGCACCCAGAGAAGAGATTCTTACCTGCAGTTCCACGTGCTGTTTCTTACATCTGGAGAAGCAGGGGAGCCCTTCTGCTCTATCAAGGAGGAGGACATGGGGGCAAACACAAAAACACAGCTGGCAGGGCAAGGGCCTCACCAGCCAGGACCCAGCCCCACAGTTCCAAAACAGGGCAAGTAGAGCATGCCTAGAGATGATGGCCAGGTTCAAAAAGTCAAGATCTTCAGGTTTTGAGGCAGGTCCAAGGTAAAGCCAGAACATCAATCCACAGGTCAGGAGACAGCTAGAGACAGCCACAGTCCAGCAATTGCAGGGCACAGCACTAGTAATGAGACAGGCTCAAGGTGAGGGTGGGAAGTCACACCACATGCCAGAGTATCCAGAAGATCT